GGGGCACGGCAGCGGCTGGCGTGCTTTGAGGGACAAGGGAGCAGAGTCGTGTGATGATGGCCCTGCAGCCACGGACGCTGGCATCTGTACCTCTGGCTGCTGCATCCCAGGACCCGCACCACAGCTGTGCCGGCCTGGCTCCTGGCAGCACATGCAGCGACTCACCCAGCAAGTGAGCCCAGAGCAGCCCTGGCCGGGCAGGGGCTTTCGAAGCAGCGGCACATCCGCGCTGCACGTGCCGGTGGTCCCGCAGGCGGGCTCAAGGGAGGTTGGTGTCACGGGGGGCAGAGCCGCTCGTCCACCTCGGGGAGGTGGTCACAGGGTGCCACGGGAGTGACCGCAGGTCCTTCTTTGCAGATGACTCCTCGTCAGAGAGCTGCAGCGGGAATGGCTCCTCCACCCTGAACCCCTCCACCTCCAGCAGCACGCAGGGCGACAGCGCCTTTCCCGAAATGAACGGAAATGGCACGGCGGCCCCCATGGACTTCACCACCTCCGCCGATGACCAGCCCATCAACCTCTGCGACAAGCTCGCGCCTGCCCACGTCACCCCTTCCTACCAGTCGGACAGCTGCAGCGCTGACGGGCTGCGCAGCAGGGTCAAGTACGCGGTGAAGACAACGGCAGAGGTATGGCCCGCGCTGCGGGCGGCTGCTGCTGGGGCTGGGCGAGACGGGACGGCTGCACATCCCTGGCTGGAGCTGGGCATGGAGCACGGCATGCTGGGAGCAACCGCACGTGAGGCTTCCCAGGCCAGGCAGAGACACGGCTCCTGCCCCCACGCTGGGAAAGCGCAGAGTGGGGGCAGCAGGGCTGAGAGCCTTTCCCTTGTAGGAAGGGAAGGACGGACGAGCGCTGCACTCACCCGCCACTGCTGCGGTAGAGCAGCTCTGCCTGGCCGTGCTCCAGCCTCCAGGCTGCTGCTGCTCAGCAGAAATCAGCCCGAGTGCCGAGCGAGTGGTTGGCAGAGGGAGGGCGAGGGATGGTTTGAGAGAGCCAGGGGCATCCCCCACACCCCACCTCCCAGAGCTGAGGATCTGCAGTGGGCTCACCTTACAGCTGTGCTGCTCCCACCGTGCAAGGAGGAGCCTGTTCCTGGTGGGTCCGGGCAGCATTTTGCATGAGGTCGGGCAGAGCCACGGCCCCCACCAGCCAGAGCTGCGTAGCCTGCACTTTGGGCCATCACAGGCTCCCTGCGGCCACCGTGTCCTCCTTGCCCCAAGCAGGCAGGACCTGGTGCTCAGGGGAGTCCAGCCGGGAGTTCATCTCAGGTTGCAGGGGGACATGAGGAAAGGGGACAGAAGCAGTGAGCCAAGGAGAAAGGGCTTTTTCCTAGTGACCCTGGGCAGGGGCGGGCAGGCGAGGGCTGCTCACGGTAACCCCTGTCTCCTCTTAGTCCCCTCCATACAGCTCCGGCAGCTATGACTCCATCAAGACAGAGGTCAGCGGCTGCCCCGAGGACCTGACCGTTGGCAGGGCCCCCACGGCCGATGAAGATGATGATGACCATGATGACCACGAAGACAACGATAAGATAAATGACTCGGAGGGGATGGACCCAGAGAGGCTAAAGGCCTTCAATGTAAGGAGAGCGCCACGGGGAGGGTGAGCCCGCCTGCCTCTTGTCTCGGTGTTCCCACCGTCTGTCTTCTCCTTTGCAGATGTTCGTGCGCCTTTTCGTGGACGAGAACCTGGACCGGATGGTTCCCATCTCCAAGCAGCCCAAGGAGAAGATCCAGGCCATCATCGAGTCCTGCAGCCGGCAGTTTCCCGAGTTCCAGGAGCGGGCACGCAAGCGTATCCGCACCTACCTCAAGTCCTGCCGCCGCATGAAGAAGAACGGGATGGAGATGGTGAGCGGCCACCCCGCTGCCCTGCTGCTCACCACCGCTCCTGGGCCAGAAGGTCCCTGAGCACCTTCTCTGCTTGTGTCTCTGCAGACCAGGCCCACGCCGCCGCACCTGACCTCAGCCATGGCAGAGAACATCCTGGCCGCCGCCTGCGAGAGCGAAACGCGGAAAGCAGCCAAGAGGATGCGGCTGGAGATCTACCAGACCTCCCAGGTATGTTGCATGCGGCTGGAGGTGGGCAAGGGATGGAGCCGACAGCATCCCGTGGCAGGGCGGGGAAAAGGAGAGATGTTTCTGAGCAATTTGGTAAAGCATTTTAAAAAGTCTTTCTAAAAGTCAGAGGGCTGCAGAACAGGGCCCTGTGGTGTGTCCTAAGACTCAGGCCAGCAGGGCTGGGGATGCTGGTTTGGGCTGGCAATGCTGTAGCCGCAGGAAACCAGGCGTCCCTGCACCGTCCCTTGCACCGGCCGCAGAGGACAGCTGGGCTCCTTTCTGGACTATGTCTGTGTTTCCCTCGTGCAGGATGAACCAATTGCTCTAGACAAGCAACACTCCAGAGACTCCACAGCCATCACCCACTCCTCCTATTCACTGCCAGCTTCATCTTACTCCCAAGACCCAGTCTACATCAATGGAAGCCTGAACTACAGCTACCGTGGCTACGGGTCCCTGGGGGGCAGCCTGCAGCCGCCTGCCTCCCTCCAGACAGGCAACCACAGTAACGGTAAGTGGTCGCACGCTGCACCAGGGTCCATGGTGGCACAGGGAGCCCACCCAGGCAGCGTGCCGCGGGCTCCCCAATATCCTGCACTACGCGGCTGAGCTGGTCACTGGAGGGGAGGCAGGGGCTGCTCCCATGGCTCACGCCAAGCCCAGTCACAGCAGCACCTCTCCTGCCGCCGCACAGAGCTGCTCCAAAGGCCCCTCTTCTGCCTGTCTACTCAGCTTGCCTCATCAGTGGATGGTTAATTGTTGAACTGAACTTGGAAGGACAGTCTAGGTGGCACTGGTGGAGGGAAGGAGTGTCACTTAAAAAAAAAGAGAATCTCTGCCAGCTATTAATTATTAACAGGAGCGGGTGCCTATCGCTGCCCTGATCTTGTTGCTGGTATGAGCTGTTCCTTTCCCAGCCTGCACTGGCTGCTCTCGGAGACAGGGATGGGGATGGGGACAGGGCTGGTGAAGTTCAGGGTCTCTACAGCAGTGCCCGGGGCACAGCCAGCGTCCTGCCGCAGGTCAGGAGGGTGATGAGGGGCTGGGGGGGCTGCATGGGACAGGACTGAGGCTGCAGGGTGGGAAGGCAGAAGGAGAGCGCAGGTGAGGCTTGAGGGGTCGGCTGGGCGAGGAGCAAGTGAACAGAGCGGAGTAGCCTGGGGCTGAGCAGGGCACCTGGGGAGATGCCGTGGTACCTGGTGACTCCCTGGCACCCAGGAGAGAGAGGTGTGGGATGGGGCAAAGGCTCTCCCCTTGGGCAGCAGCCCTCTCTCTGGCTGTGTCCTCCCGGCAGCGGTGGCACGACAGGCTGGAGCCCGCCCTGGTCCTCGGCTGCCTTCACTTGCCCCGGTGTGCTCTGGGCTCCTGCCCTGCCCCTGCCCACCCCGAGGGGAGTGAGGATTTGGAAGGATGTGATTTCCGGAGCCCTGAGAGATGCCTGTCTGGGATTAACTCTTATCATCCCTTCCTAATGCTTCTTAACCCTGAATAAAGATCCCGCCCCGGCCTCCAGCTGCTGAGACCTAATCCTTGCAGCCGCTGAGGAGGCAGCAATGGTTCCTCCCCAGAGCAGCACAGGCACCCCTGGCCCCCCACACTGCCCTGCACCCTCCTTTCACCCAGCCCAGCCGTGAGTGCTGGCTCCTTGATGTGGACAGCAAACATGCAGAAATGTCTCAGAACAGCCCCAGTGAGCGCCTGCCCCAGGAGGAGCAGACAGGCCCCGCATGTAGCACACAGCAGCAGCACACAGCAGCACCTTGCTTCTTTCTAATGGATTTTTTTAAACCTCTGCTTTGCAATTATTTTTTGCCCTTTGCCCAAGCTCTTGCCGAGTCCTTTAGAGGTAAGAGTGTGCTGCTATAGCGCTGGCAAGGAGTGCTGCAAGGAGCTGCGCCTTCTCCCTCTGTGAGCAGAAAGCCTGCAGGGGTTTGCTGCCCAGAAGTGTCTTCTCCCTCCATCCCCCACCTGAGGCGATTCTTGCTCAAACCTGCATCCCCACTCCCAGCCACTTCCCCCTTGGTGAGCCAGGAAACGGGCTCCGTTTACTGCTGCCTTTTCTGTCCAGTGAAATTGCTTTCGCTTGAGAGCCTCCTCCTCCTCCTCCTCCTCCCCTTCGCAGCACTGATTAGCCTGGCATGGAAGTCCTCTGCTGGTGCCACTCCTCCCACAGCATTTGCTGCTCCAGCATTGCTTTCCTTGGATGCTTTCCTTCGTACCCCGACGCAATGCGCTCCCCTCCCTGCCTCCAGCCAACAGCAGGACCCACCTGGGCTCTGGTGGCTGCCGAACTCTCCTGTCCTGGTTTGCAAACCGCTGCAGCATCCAGTCCCTGCTCCATCTTCCTGCGTGTCCCACCGCAGCAGTGTCAGGCCACCCAGCGGGAGCTCAGCCCTCTTGAAGCCTTTCTCCAGCACCACCAACTGCTCCATCAGCCTGCAATGCTCCAGCCCACAGCCAGGGGATTAATTAGTTCAGTGTCTTCTCTTTCTCCTTACCCCTAGGCTGCAGCCTCGCCTGCCTCCTCTCCCTAACTAGTATCACATCTCTAGTACACGTCTTTCCTCTTCTCTCCATTTCTAGGTGATTGTGTGGTTCTTGCACCTTGCTTGGCTTCTCTTACTTAGTCCAATGCAAAGCTGAATCCAGTTTTTCCCCGTCTTTACCTGGCTGCGTCACTCCTCAAGCTGTGTACCAGCTTCCCTGCCAAAGTCTTCCACACACAGCCACCCAAACCAGGCTGCACACCTGTGCATGTGATTGTGCACACAGATCTGCAGACAGCCATCGCAGTGGCTGACAGTGTTCCCTGGGTCTCGGAGAACTTGATAATTTCGTGACTTTTTGCAGGTTTAAGATCTGTATTGAGATGGGAGGGTTTGTGAGCCAGGGGCAGCTGTGTGTCCTGTTCTGCAGAAGACAGGCGTGCGTACGTGGCCAAAAATCACGTGCACTAGAGGTGGAGCAGAGATGGACTTAGGAGAAAGAATTATCCCTGCCCATCAGGCAGATCATAAATTTTGCAGGACTTCATTTCATTTACAGACTAAGCCATAGAAATGTGCAGCCTAGGAAGACCATTTAGACCGCCCCAACCTGATATGTAAGGCTGAGCATGTAACCGTGTTGGTGCCTGGGGGGCTGTGCGAGACCCCGAGCAGGGCACGTCTCCTCCTCGCCATGGAGCACAGCCCGGCCCCACGTGGGCACAAACACCATGTAGTTATCCAGCGCTGAACCAGGGAATTGCACCCCATGCAGGATGTTACTCTCCATGTGCAGAGGAGAAAACAGAACCTGGAAGATGATTTTGATGGGGCAGGTACCCCTCAGGTGCCAGTTTAGCTCCTGGCAGGGCACGGCCACAGACCCTCCCTTCACAGAGCAGATGGGACAGGCTGCAGGACGGGATTTTTGTCATGTTGACTCTGAAGTCTCTTTCCTTGTGGCTGTTGTAGAGGCAGTGGCTGGCTGGTGCGGGAGCTGGGGCTTCTCACGTTGTCCGGGGCACCACACTTTGCAGGGACCTTCCTGCTGGTGCAGAGGTCCAGGAGCGGCAGCTCCCACTGGGGATCTTGTCCTGGCAGGACGGACACGGGCAAGGCTGCTCTGCCTGAGCTTCCCTCTCGCTTTTCCTTGGCAGGTCCGACCGATCTCAGCATGAAAGGTGGGGCCTCCAGCACGGCCCCCTCCAACAGCACCAGCAGGGGAATGCAGGCTGCCCAGCTCAGCCCCACGGAGATCAGCGCAGTGCGGCAGCTGATCGCCGGCTACCGAGAGTCGGCGGCGTTTCTGCTTCGATCTGCAGACGAACTGGAAAACCTCATTTTACAGCAGAACTGACTCCCTGTGTCTGCATCGCTCCTCTGTCGAGAAGACAATTTATACCTGCTAGAAAGAGGCTCCCAGCGGTGTCCTGCTCAGGACCACCATCGTCCTCCCGTGAAGCGGCGGGTACATGTAGTTTTAGAAGGTGGAATCCAAAAGACCTGTTTTCTTTTACACTCCAAGCACCTGGGACTTCAGGCACAAGGACACATTTTTGAACCGTACCAACACCTGTGCGTCCAGCCGACCAGAAGCCAAACCTGTGGCTTGGAAGGATGTGGGACTTTCAAGGGCAGAAGGGAGCCTGGGGAGGTTTGGGGCTGCAGATGTATTTAGAATAACCTTTGTGGACCCAAATGTTAGATACCCATCCCCAGATAATTTCCAAGTCTTAGGTGAGCTGAATCACATATTTATTGAGAAATGGACCCTCCTCTCCCCTTAGTAATTTATTTTTCTGAAAATGGATTCTTTTGAGTTTGTACAGATTGCCAGTTTTTTGTCTGTCTGATCAGAAGGAATTTATTCCTGTGAAATAACACATTCCATATCACTACACTACTAATTTCCAGGCAGCTCTGCCTGTTTCTCTGGGGAGCCCTTGTCCCACAGGGAGCAAGTTTGCCATTCAGCCCTAGACTTTGAGGCTACTCAGCCTCCAGTAAGCGTAGGTGGCAGTTGAACAACGGAGCAAGCAAGCGTCCTGCTTAGACCTTCGTTCTAAGCGGTCCCATAGCAGCAGTGGGGTCTAAATCTCCCGCAGAGACTCGGCAAGCTCGGCAGACCTCCAGCTAGAAGGACGTCTCGCACTCATTTAAGTCATTGCAGATAAGAGAAGGAAGGAAAGAAATACCTGAGAAACACTGTCTTGCGGTCACCATCCGTACTCTACCTCACACTCCATTGTGGGCTTCTTCCAGGCCTGGCCGAGCTGGTCCTGGGGGACGGTGAGTGTCGCAGACGCGTGGATCGCGCCGAGGAGGCTGGAACCGACCCGGCAGATCCAGCGGATCCGCCAGGGTCCTGCTGCTGGGCGGCAGCTCGCCCCCACCCCGCTGCGCCCGGCTGTTTGCTCCGGTCCGTGTGAAACCAGCCCTGGGGTAGCATCAGGAGAATAAACCGTTTAGGAACCGCATGGGTGTAAAGGCTAATGCCGGGTCTCTGCCTGAAAAGTGAGCTCAGTGCGGCAAGCCGCTCGCTCCACTGCAGAAGATAGAGACGGGCAACATTCAGCAGCAGAACTGACAAAAGTCCTCTCCAGGGCCCAGGATCCTCCTCCCCCCTCCCTGCTCACAGTCCTGGAACAAGCCCACAATTCCCAAAGTGTGGAAAAACCGTAGTCCGATGACCATTTTGCCCTGTTACCACCCCCCCGCCCCCAATAATGCACTTCGTTTTGCTCAGTGCAATACCTACTACCAGTGCTGCTAAACCCAGGGACTTCGCTCAGGCACAGAGATGCTGAGCCGAGCCAAGCAATGCAACGTGCTCTGGAGCCACGTAGAGCAGCAGAGACCAGCTGCCGGGGATCCCAGCTCCTCCTCGTGCCCCCACGCCGGCGCAGCTGCCCCCGCCCGGGCAGGAGTCCTCACCACGAGATATAAATCCGATAAGTGTAAACCCCTATACGCTCATTTTAAAGGTAGATACTTTCTCTCTTTGGAGCCAGCTTTTTTCTTCTTTTTCGGTCACTCTGAGCCGGCAGCGGACAGAGGCCGCTGCTCCCTGGGGGGCTGACGCCACTGGCCCGGGCTCGAGCTCGGTGGCAGCGGCTGGTCGCAGCCAGGAGCGGACCCGGGCAGTTTACTCAGTAGCCTTTATACCCAATTATACTCCCCACACACTGGAAGAGAAGCAAAACCTCTACCCTGCTCTTAGTCTCAGTAGAGAAAAAGCCAGCGGCTCCTGAGGACAGGCTTGCCTGGCCCGGCAGCAGAAGGGATTCACCGTTGCATTGACTGTTCTCCCCAAACCGTAAACTTTCCATAGCATTCGGAGAAAAGGGACCTAAGCCCTGGCCGTTCGGTGCAGTCGGGGTGTCCGTGCACAGACGAGGTGGTGGCTTGTTAGACCTGAGCCGATGCTGGAACCGGGAGCATCGCGGCCACCCCGAGGTGCCCTGGGCCGAGCGCCCCGTCCCCTCCCTGCCCGCGGCAGGCAGGAGAGCGGCGTGGGGGCCAGCCCGGGACACCAGCCCCCCCGAGCCAGGGTTCAGACTCACGTTTTCCCCAGCACTTCACAAGCCTGCTTGGTTTGTCCACTGCATCCTCCCATACTTGGAATTTATGTAAATATTTATTTTTGTGTGAATACCATGAAGTAACAAACCTTTGACAAAATATGTAACCACAGCCATTTGTGAAAGTCTTAACGTTAAGGAAGGAGAGGCAGAGACAATCGCTGTCCCGGAATTCTCTCTCTCTGCGATATCCCACCTGAGTCGGTGCCTCCCTCCCCGTCAGAGGCCATCGAGAACATTTAGCCATAAGTTTGCCATCCAGTTCACTGAAAAAGAGGTTACCCAGGGGCTTACGGACAGATCGCCATCAGCTACAGTTTGTTTAGTTTTATTTATGCAAGTTTTAGCTGTCGTTACCAGATCACCTTTGAACTTGTCTTAGCATGTATTGAAGTTTAGTAGCTCTTACACTTTGTTAAACTGCTGTAGAAGACAGATGAGGCTCATGGTTGCGTAGGAAGGTATCCAACAGTCTACCCTGTCCTAACAACTGATGTTCATAACTTGCAGCTGAATGGTACAGACTCAGATTTCCAAAGCCCCGGTGACAGCCACATCTGTGACAAGTTATGAAACAAATGGGATTGACTACGAACTTCTGTCAGGGATCTCTTTTTTTCTTTCTTCTTTCTTTCTTTTATTTTTTTTTTTCGGTGAGCCGCAGCTTTATAGTTTCTTTGGAGCAAGCTCCACAGACATCTCAGTGCTCTTCAGCTGATCCATGCTCAGTTGCGGCTCTTCTGTGCTCCAGGACTGTTTCACAGCCACATTCCTGCGCTCTCACTAGGCAGGACGGGGTCAGGAATCCCTAGTCTGGGTTCTCAACGAGAAGGAATGAGCAGGAGCAGAATACACCGGCTTTCCAGATATTCTGAGAGGTGGAAGGAGAATGCTGGGTTAGCAAATGGTCTGGATGTTCTTGGTTTTGTTTAAGAAAAGCTAATCACTGGTCGAGAAAATAGATTTTTTTTTTAATTTAATTTTATTTTATTTTAAACACAACCATCCTGCCCTGGATGTGCGGTTCCCATGACGGTGTTTCTACATGGGAGAGCGTTCCCGGGATTGCGAGCAGACGTAACTTGTACCTCCCCAATCCAAAGGGCCACTTCCCTCCCACGAGTGGCCATCGGATTTAGTACCAGTTCATGAAAAAAAATGCTGCTTTGAACTCAGAGGGTTAATATACTTTTGATTTGTAATTTTTTGTAAAACTTTTTACAAGGTAGCATAGTATTTCACCAGAATACCAACTACAATCCGTCCATGGTCTGATTTTTATATAATTTAGTGGTGCTTTAGAAACTTTTGTTTGGTTGTTTCGGAGCTGTACAGCTCAGTTCTTTGCCTGTATCTACCTAAGACCAATGTGAACCTTTGTATTTTTGCTCCTAATTTTGGACTCAGTGAAAGTGTACTGTTTACATGTACAGAACTCCCGGCCCCTGTGTGTTCTGCAAGACCTGCTGTTGAAGAGGAAGATGCACCTCACCCAGTTCGTCTGCTTAACCAAGCCACAGCTTCACTCACCCACCGACACACGCACCTACCCTAAGGAAGACCCCACAAAATCGAAACGCCCTTTAAGCAATTTTGGGTTTTGCACAAGCTATTGTATTTTTTTTTTTCCAGTAGTCGATTTACGGATTGGCTGCGATTCAAATTGAGAGCTGACCCGGAGCTCAGTTAACTGAAGCACCAGAACTCAAGCAGGCAGAGTCGCACAGTGCTGCCGTTTCACCATCCTCCTCCTGCCACCGAGGCGGGAGGGTGAAAGCTGCCGAGCTCAGTGTAGGGTTCAAACAATGCAGAAGAGCACTCGAGCCCAGGGGGCTTGCAGGGAAGCAGGGGGGAAACACTCATCAGCATAATTGGAAACATACTTTACCGAACCTGGTGAAATCGCCCAAGCTGGCTGCTGATTTCAGATTGAGAGGGTGGGAGCGTGTTCCCTCAGGAGGCGGGGGGCTCCGACACGAAGCAGAAGACAGCTCTTTGGAAAGTCGGTGCTTTCCTGAGGGCTCAGATAGAAAGCATATGGCACTTAATCCAGCTTTTAAGGTGACACTTTATTGCTTAATCAATTGATTCATTTTGAAATGATATTTTTGCAGATAGGCACCTATGCAACTTAATGTGGCTCTTAAGCAGATGAGCACTTCCTCCTCAACGAGCTTGATAAGAGTTATTTGTGTTATATACTGTGGATTTTTCCAGTAAATGTGGCTTAATATTTTAATTCTTAGAATGTGTGTCTATTATATATGTGATGCAACTTAATTCTGTTCTGTTTGTGGAATGATTAGCACAGGCCAACTCCCTGTTCCCCTCACTTAACAAAGACCAATGAGCTGTTAATCAAGCTGTTATCTCCATGGTATTACTTGCTAAATGCACTGATTTCATAAGTATGTGGAATCCTTTTTTTTTTTTTCTTTTGAATCTGTATATCATATATAAGACTGAATCTACTTAATAAACACTGTATAACAAAAAGGGCTTTCTCCTCCACTGTCGAGCACCGCTGGGTGCTGCTGGCACCGGGCGCTCTCCAGCCGCTGCCCCTCGCCCCGGCGCCAGCCCGCATTTGCTCCCCAGCCCCAGCCTACGCGCTGTGCGAGAGGTCGGTGCGATTGGTCACCAAAGCGGGATCTAAATTTAGGTGTTAAAGGAAAAAAACCATATCTTTCAATAATTTTGACATAAGCTGTGCTTTCCATTCCTTAACAGACAGCTGCGGGTACCATAGAGAGCAGCGTTAGCACTCACAAGTGGGGCTAGTCACAAATTTTATGCTTAACTTATATTTTGACAAAATTAATTTTGTGAAGTGTCTGTTTTTTGTGAAAAAAAAAAAAAAAAAAAGAAAAAAAAGAGTTTTCATTGAAGTTTGTGGAAAGTTCTCCCTCTCCCTCATGGAAAATACTGATTTTTCGTTACCAGCTTTATTCACTAAGTATAATAAATCTTTGCATCCATAAAATGTTTTATCTCAAAGCACTGTGTAGATAAAAATCTCCTGATTTGCATCAGTGGCTGGCTGACAGTCAGGAGGGCCCAGGAAAGATGAGTCAAATCGGTTTGCAGCTTTGGTGGAAGCGCTGCCTTTTGCTTTTCATACGGGTGCCTGCGATGCGGTGCGGGCAGGACCTGCCCCAGGTTTTGCTGCCGCAGCCTTCAGCAACAGCCAAAAGGACCCACCTGAACGTTGCGCTTGTAAATAGTCACCCGGGATAGCACGTCCCAAATGGGCCTTCTGTAATAATTAGTTAATGTGTGTGTGTACACAGAGCGAACGAGAGGGGTTTGTAGTGCACACAGGTAAAGCGTCTCCCGTGTGTCCCTGACGCAGTTGGGTTGAACACCATTAAGCCTCTGGATAAGCTTTGCCCCCAAATTTCAAACGGAGCAAGCCATGGGGATTAGCAGGGCTCAGTCGCACCAGCGTGCAAACCCGTTTTCGGTACCTTCGGAAATAGCTGCTGTTGCTTCCGCAGCTCCATGGTCATGGGTCTCTTGGCCGACTTGGGAAGTCCTCTCTGTCCGCAGCCGGCTCCATCGCGGAGCCAGGATGCTCCAGAGCACCGCAGAGCTGGACCCAAACAGCGGACGGTCTGTGAGAGAAAAAATCTATTATCAGATAAATATCATGGAGAAAAGAAAAAATTAAATTATTTGCTCTGTGTGAAATTCTGACATTAATAGACTTTTACTCTTGAAACCTCCAAGCTCCCCTATTCTAGAAGTAACGAATTCTGACATCATCATCCACCATACCAATAAAATAGAAAACTTGATGTCGGTTATTTAGCAGTTTTAAAGCTTACCTAAGTAACAACTCTACTTATTTTTGCGTTATTATTTTTAGCATATTTAGATGATCTGGACATCTTTAACCACACCTGTGCTTGCAGCCAAAGCCTGCCAGAGTGAGGAGAACATCAATGAACTACCAAAACCCCCAAAAGCTGGGGCCAGAAGAGCCGCTGCCCTGGCCACGCACGGCTCCTGTGCTAGCGCAGACCCCGCGGCTCGTGCCACAGCACGCTGCCGGCATGCAGGAGATGTCCGAGGTCGGCAGGTTTGGGATGGGTCGGTTCCTACCACTGAAGGGCTGCAGCCAGGACCGATGTTCACATCATAAATCCTGACTCCCGACGGGAGCGATGCAGAGTTTAAACCATAAACCTTCTCCCATGCTTGGGGCAGAGCTTCCTTTGCACTCAAAGGCAGCAATGCTCAGCTTTGCCCCCCCTTTCCTTCTCACCAGGATTTTTTAAGCAAGCAGACCGAAGAAGCTAGGCTTCACTGCTGCTGCCCACCAATGCCCTGGCATTAGTGATGTGGAGGAATGGGGAGAATGGGGCACCATTGCTGCTGTTCTGCAACACCGCAGAACATAAGGAAGTTCAGTATTATACCACCGTACAGGTCTAAACATTCCCACAGCCCCACTGCCCAATTTATGAGATCACCGTCTGCCTTGAGGAAGATCCACGCAATGAGACCAGAACCCAGATGTGTAATAGAATAATTCACGTTATTCTTTTCTTACTACCTAGAAAAGAGAGAGGAAGGACGTAAAAATAAAGTAGTTTACAGGTAGTTTCAATGAACAGTATAATTGGTATCACATTGTTAACGCGCTTTAGAAGACATTTTCAGATCCATTTACCCAACAATTGAGTAAGCTGGTAATGTAAAAGCCACGTTAACAGCAGCAGCAAGACCCCTGGGCCAGTCTTGGTGCTGCTGCCCATAGGCAGGGCAGGTATCCCCCGGCCCTGTTACTGCTGGGGGGGCTGCCGCAGCCGCAGCCTTCACTCCCGCAGCGTCCCACTGCCACGCTGCTGCTTTTGGAGCACTCAGGTATGCGTTTCCCAAGAGCCATGCACCGCGTCTGCAGTAGGTGCACTGCCTTCACTTATCTACAAGTGTATAAAAACCGATTTAATGAAGCCGAGACAGGACTGCAGCCCCTCCCTTTTAATCATCTGAGCAGAGCTCTGGAACGCTCCCAGTTAAAAAAGAGGAAAGGAAAAGCAATATTGCCTTAGAGAGCACAAAGGATGACTTCAGAAAAAGAGGACTGAAACCACAAATGCAGGTTTTACAGAGTGTTTATTTTTCCAATACCACAAGGGACATACATGAGCAGGCCCCCCCGGAGGGCTCTGCAAACCAGTTCCATCTGTACACTACAGTGGCCCCAAAGGAGGCAGAGCCAGACCCCCCCCAGCTCCGCTCCCTATCTTTGGTAAGCAGGTTTCACACCTCCGCTCCGCTGTCACCAACACCGCAGTTCTGTTCATCCCGGGGTGCGTGCGCGGGTCTCTCTCATTCCCACAACAGGAGGCTGTCGGGTGCATTAAGGATAAACCATTGCAGAGACTAAACTTGTTGCATCCCTCAGGCTTGCATCTCAAACAGGAACTTGTACAATTAAAAAAAAAAAAAAAAAGTGCATGGTCAAGGGAGGTAGGATAGAGCTAGAAAAGGGACAAAAGAAAAAAACAACGAACCCCTACAATTCTTGCTACTGCTGCTTAAATGAAACGGCTGACTTCTCCCCCCACTGAAGCAATTATTTCTTGGTAAGTAATTGCTCCAACAAGGAAGAGAGTCATGGTTTTGCTCTCAAGGATGTTCACCTTCTTGCAACGCAGCTACAGCCGTGCTCTAGGAGATCAGTTACAGCAACAACTGGCAATAGCTTAGAGGAGCGACCAGTGAAGTACACTCGACTTGGCAAATCCCATCAGGTCATCCTTGAGTCCGCACATCAGTCTACCTGCACAATGCAGCACGGACACCCGGGCAGAGAGGGAGGCTGTCAGAACCAAGAGACACCGTTGCATGTTGAGCCTCACATTAGGCAAGACAGAATACAGTGGCTCTGACTACAGATGCAGATTAATAACTAACACCACTTTAATGCAATACTGCTGTAGAGCCTGAAAATCCAAGGAAAAAAAAAAAAGAACCCTTTATGTTCTATGTACATTACATCCATTTACAGAGTTGGCCAGTACTGTGTACAACATATAAATACATGATCAAACAGATGCATAGAGGATACTTACAGGAGCCAAATAATTCACTTTATACATCCAAGAATGAAAATATAAAAAAAAGGAAAAAACACTGCTTTAAATGTTAGATGATCGTCACACAGATGCACAGCTAGACGCTTGCAAGTGGTCAGATGTTGTCACGTTAAGGTCCTCATTGCAGGGCTGCAATGCAGAGATCGCTGGCCACGTAAACGAGCTTCTAGGAACCTCCGACATTTCACACTAGTTTGTGGCAAGTCAGCCAAAAGAGGCAGTCACATTGGCTGGTCCAAGAGTTCAGCCAAGCACACAGTTCCCTGCGCCACACATCTTCCTGCAGACCAGCAGAAGGTGTTCGGTTGGCACCTGCCACTTTTTTTTTTTTTTTCCTCTTCTTCTTGCATCCTCCGAGTTGGCTCCATCCAGTATACGGTTAGCTGTATACAGCTCTACAGCCACCTGCAGAGTGCTTTCCTGGGCACCACGTTCTGCTGTAGCATCCAAAGACCGTACAGAACCGTCACTGCAGAGCAGCTCTTTGCTTACACTTACTGTACAGCGGTCCTTCCCACACAAACCAAGAATGGAGATGGCAGAAGGGGAGAGTGGAAGACTGTAGGGCCTCACCTAGCACAGCCCTGAAATAGAAAACACCCTGTTCCAGTTCCTTTGGATGTAAAGATTTCCTCGACGGAGGGTCCACGGATTGCCACAGCAAACTGCCTGTCACTCAGGTGTTAGCCTCAGCACGTGTACCAGAGCACAATCAGTATTTCCACGATAGCACGAAGCAGAAGGATCGCTCCAGTGGGGCGCAGCCCACCGAGACTGGAGTGTAACCGTGAGCAAGAAAGGGTTTTGGACTGTAGATTTTAGTGGGAAGGCAAGTCAACTTTCCTCACCAAAACAAAGTGTAATAGCATTTCTACTATAAACAGAATAGTATTTTGTGTACAGGTTTTAGGATCAGTCATTATCAAAATACACACACTGAATATACAATTTGTCCCATGGCCATAATTTATTATCTCACCACAAGGCACAATACACAAAGCTTAGAGGGTCCTATACAGTCATCGTGACAAAACGCCCCGCAGCCTTTACACATGATCATGGCTTTAAGGCTGCACGAGCACTTGAACGATATCTCGTCAACACTGCTGCTACCAGCAAACATCTGCACAGAAAGGGACGTATTATGGTTTGCAGCAAAGTTCGCTTTGTGGGTTAGCTGCATCATGCTTCCAGCAAGGCTTCTGGGAAAAGCTGGAGTGCTGGATGAATAATTAAAGCTGGTGGAATTAAGCTGCAGCTTAGAAAGCTTCCCATAAAATGCTTGCTTGATATTGAGCTGAGAGGGTATGGAAGAAGGCTCCAAAGGGTGATTGTGTCCTTTTCCTGGTTCCCTTGAAAACTTAAAAAATGGCAAGTCCATAACGAGCGGAACACTTTGCAAATGCTCAGTCAGCTCCACGGGGTTTTGTGCTGCGTCCTTCTGGTTCTCCGTGTTACTCTTGGCTGGGCTGCCACACGCCAGCACATTCTCATTTTTTATTCCTCCCAGGGTGTCGGTGTGCTGCTTTGAAGTCCATTCGTCCCTTGCAGCTGGCATTCCTTCTCCTGATGCACAGCTCTTGCTCAGAGGAATCTGTTTGCTGGGGGACAAGGTTCCTATGGCTGAAACTTGATCCAAAGCCCTGGAGTGATGTAGTCTAACGCTGGGGTTGCAAGGAAAACCAGAACCAAAGAGTTTTTTGCCTTGAACTCCAACATAATTTTTATTGACTGATGTACCTCCTGTCTGATTTGGACCAAGAGAAGTTACAGTTGGAGATAAAAACTGAGGCTCCATAGAGGCGTTCAACTTCTCTGGACTCTTATTTGTGATGACACTTGTCAGTGGGTTGTGCTGTGGCACCCGATGGACCTTGGACAACTCCTTTTGCTCCTCAAAGCTACAGGAAGAAAATGTTCTTTCCCGGGGGCCCATATCTTCAGGCTTCTGAGAGGCACTTGCCACATTTGCCAGTTGGTCTTGGCAACTTAAAGTTGAGCCAACTTTGGAATGTTTTTCTGAAGTAGATTGATCCTCCGCATCCTCTGCTCTAGGTAACGCTGCCCCTGATCCGCACTTCTTTTCCGGGGGATCCATGGAAGATCTCAGTGAGTGGAAGTCATCGCTCCTGCTTGGGGCACTTGTCTTTATTCCTACATCTGGAGAAGATTCTTTGCCAAAATAACAACTGCTACCTCTCTCCATTTGCAGGGAGAGGCTTTCTGACTGCTTGTCCAGCAGCGGCTGTGTGATTTCCAGCTTGATGTTGCCATGAGATACTGGGAGAACTTCTTCCAATGGAAGGTTCCCCTTAAGCAGCTGCATCACCAAAGGGTTGCTGGTTTCAACAGAGGATACCGGCCGAGCAGAACCCATCGACCGCTCGGCTTTCTGGGGTAACGGTGCATGTGGTTCCCATCTCTGAGATGCAGGTGCAGCACTCATCACTGCAACTGCAGGGAAGTCCACAACACAGGCCAGACTATCTGTTTCCACAGATGATTTTGACCTAATCCTATCACATCTCTCAGTGCTGCTGTGACAGGAGGAGTCTTTCCCAGCCACCTCCCTACAGCTGCCACTTCTGAAACATATATCCATCTCTACATTCTCATCGGCTGCATCAGCTTCAAAATCTGAAGCAGTATCTGTTGTTTCACTGTGCGTACTCTGTACTTCATCATCTCCATTTGTCTTGAACTCTTGAGTCTCTCTCAGTGGCTGATGTGCATCTTCTTGTTCTGTTCTAGGGCACCTCTCCCTCAGCTGCAGAAGTTTTTCACAGGTATCTATCCTATTCTGAGAAATAAAGTCATCACGTAAAGAGGGTTTCACCAGAGACTCTGTATTTTGTTCTTCATTACTTAGTTTGCCATCACTCTCTTTATCTGCCTGCAGGTGTGCAAAGTTATACAGTGCAGGGACTGCTTTCTCCACTCCAGTAGTCACCATTTTGGAGTTATCACTATCAGCAACACATTTTTCCACAAATGTTTCAGAGCCATTAAATCTAAATCTAGATACCATTTCTGGCTCACGGCATTCTTTACCACCTGATGACAATTCTGGCAGAAGAGCAGGACAACTGGAGGAATTTTCCTTTGTGTCAGAATGATAATCCAACTGTACGGCAGGAGCACTAACATCTTTGAATTCTGACACAACCCTCTTTCCTGTAGGACTGATCACAGCTCCCTGCACCTGAGAACAAGACAGACCGTTCACTGGAGGAATCGCGCATTTCAGCTTTGTACTTTGCCTCTCCTGTGATGCAACACAAGACGGGGTTTCGGTCCTTGGGTCGCAGAGGAGCTGCTCAGGGCTCTCCTCCTGCCTCTCAGAAGTTGCATTGTCTAAGGATGACCCAGTCAAAGCATCACAGAACTGCCTTCTAGGTGAACCATCACCAGGTTGAGCTTCCCCTGAGCTAGGGCCTGCAGCGCGTTCCAGATCACCACTTCCCTCACTCTTTGAAGAAAAGGGGTGTTGTCTTGAAGAGAGGAAGGAATTTGTGTTGGCCTCCTGAGCAGCCACCTCAGAGTTAGCCTTTTCTCCATTCACATGGAGAGACGACAGTAATTGTGTTCGTTGTAGATCTGACGAACGCTTTCCATGAGCTCTCTTTGATCTCCGGTGCTCTGTATGGCTGCTGGATTCTCCTCCACCACCTCCTTCATCAGTACTTCTCCCTCCACCTGGGCCACCCCCACCTCCAATGGCGGCTGTAGCAGCTTCTCGCTGGGCTCGGGCTTGCAAAGCACGGGCTTTAATGTCTGCGAGTGTTCTGGCCCCAGTCCTGCCCCGGCTGGAGGGCTCCGTGTTGGGGATGATCCTGGGGCATATCTGGTAAGCGGGCTGACCTTTAACCACCCAGGGTGGTTTAATACGTGAAAGTTGAATCTGAAAGAAAGGGAAAAGCAATTAGTTCTAACATTTGACCATTTTCAGACAGGGAGATGCATTTTATTAGCATCTGTTCATCACAGTTCTTATCACAAGAATTCAATAAAAACTTGAAATTCCAACTTAAAAACTAATTTTGGCAGAGAAGTAGCATGCTCTCTGTAACCTCTGCTTATGTGCTCTGTCATGCGATATGTAAAGCTCAGTTAATATTCACATTGTTTTACCAGTGCCCGCAAATACAAAATAAGTGATTTGCATTCAGATCTTCAGAAATCAAAATGGTCTCCTTTACACCAGGATGACAACCCCGAAGCTAAGATGGATACCTCTAGCCAAAATGGGAAAAGTCAGAAGGAATACTATGATTCTGCCCAAAAGGAAAGGAACTGAGAAATTACACAGGATAAAGAATACAATTTGAAGGTCTCTTGCAACAAGTCAGCTAGTTTCAGGAAAAGTGATTTCTGTATCCACAGAAATGCCAACTAACAGAGTAAGTCAAGGTTACCCTGTGCTCTTGTGCAAAGACCTTGGAATGATATTCCATTCTTTGCCTGTCTAAATAAGATAGTAAACTGTGGTAATCAGGGGTACTTAGCCAGCTCTACCAATGAAAAGATTCCACTTCTTAAGATGACAACACTTGACATTTTAATGTTTTGATGCTACTGAGCATGACAGCCCTGAGATACCAAGCAGCTATAATTCTCTTTCCTACCCGGATGGGTGGGACTTTTGGCTCCTCTTTAGTAGGCTGTGGCTTTTCTGGGTGAACACTTTCAATTGTGTTACGAAAGGACTGACGATCTTCAAGCCGGGGCTTCTTTTCGGGGAAGGACGCAGAGGCAGCCTCCTCAAAGCATTTCCTCTTCTGCTCCTTGGACTCCCGAGCAGAGTTCTCCTGGGGCAAACTGGGAATTCTGTTTGCAGCTGCCAATGACAGATCTTCTGATTTACTGTGTAATTTGGAAGACTCTGGAGAGAGGTGCAATTCTGAACTCTCTGGCTTCAGTACTGCAGCCGAAGGGCTCGTCAGATCATCTTTCTTCAGGTCTTTCTCAGGCTTTGTCTCTTTATGAAGAGAGGAATCTGGGCCCACAGAAGCGGTCTCTTTGGAAGCCTCCGTTTGCTCAGATTCACGCAATTTGTACAGGCTCCTCCTGGCTCTGCATCGCAGGTCAGCCCGGGAGCGTTTTCTGAAGTGCCCATCTCTCTGCCGTGTAGAAGGACCGCGTGGCAGTCTTGCTTCTCCTTTAACAGACAGTCCTGTCCTGTTCTCAGCATCTTCTTGCACCAAATTCTGCTCCTGGGATTCTTCTTGGGTCAAGCCCAACCTATGAGGCAAACACAAGAACTAGCTAAAAGCTAAAACCCATCCTAATTCAAGCATTTCATCTTTTACTTATAGCTGTACTGTATACCACTATACACAGTAACATACAGACGACAAAGCAGATGCTCATCAAAACCTCATTAAGTCGGTCTGCAATGAGACAACCTATAAATTTGCTATCCCACATTACCATCACAGGGAGTGAGAAAAATAAGAAAATGTAAAGGTGTGTGACGGAAAACGAGTAATATTAATTTTTCTTGGAAACGAAATAGACGGGCTACAAAATTCTGCTGTGACCCAGCCAATTCCACTAAGGATTTCCCTAGAGCAACAGTCTGAATGATTCACCCCACCACCTGTATCTTCCAAGGAGTTTATGCTGCATCTTCTTAGGTATCCGCAAGCAGAAAGACACTCTGCCACCTGCATAAACATAGGTAAAACAGGACAGATGAGGTAAAATTTCTCACTTTTGTCCATAGTAGTCCTCAAAGAACTTCTCTTTCCATTGCTCCACTCTCTTTTCCTTTTCCATCTCCTGCCGAATTCGAACTTGCATCTCATGAGTGAATTCACCTACATGGAAGCAAGAGACTGAAATTCAATCCCAAACCAAACTGATTCTGCAAATACAACCTTTCGTGTTTTAACAGTACAGTAGCTATATATACGAAGGACAGATTTTCTGTTATTGCCCTGTTCTCCACCCTACTATGGATCCACATGCTGCCTGCAACTCCTTAAGGGCAAGGGTCACACAGCCTCAAGCAAGTCTGAAAAAAAGAAAGAAATCATGTTTTACCAGACATAGGCCACCATTTCAGGAAAGGTAAGTCTGGCACTACTTTAGACCTCCACCACTTCATTCTGAAGGTCCCATGGCACCAAAGGAAACATATCTTTGATTTTAAAGAAAAAAAAAAGAAGAAAGAAGAAAAGCTGGGGGCAACATAGCCAGATATGCTGCAAAGCTGGACTGAATTCCCATTCATTAACTGTAAAAGAAAAACAAAATAAATCCCATAAAATGAGTACCTATTCTCCAGCCACCTAGGAAAGCGAACCTACTCACCATCAGCTAGTCGTTCTCTCCAGCTCTGTGCAGCATGGGTGAAGAATTCATTATTCAGAGCACTGCCACTGAGACGCATCAGCCCATCAGCCCCAACCTAATGGGACAAACCCAGGACAAACAGAAAACATTTGCTCCAGCTGTTCCACAATCAAGAGGCAATGCAGTGAATGGAAAACACCCAAGTGCTGCACCTTCATACCTGTCTATCAACTTCTGGAAGGAGGTAAAGGAGCTGCTGCTGGAAGTGCGATGGGAGCGCATTAAAGGTTCTGGAGTTTATCAGAGCTCGCAGGTTTGTATTGACAAGAATGGAACCAGGCGTTTCAAAGTCAATATCCTCACCCCTGTTTCGTTTCATTTGCCCTGTAGTTTAAGGACAGGCAAATGAAATAAATATTGTATAAAAGTATTTCAGCATTATGGGCAAGAAATTCATGTCAAGCTACTACAGCAAAGAAGCAAGATGCACGAGAAAAGGCTGTAGTATTCAAGTATGAAGAAAGACTCTCTCAAACACACTAATGAATAGACATGCATCTGGAATTTTGATACAAGGTCACATTTCTGTCATGTTCAGGTACAATTCTCGATGCTGCTCTTCAGACTGGGCAAACTTTTAAACAATTGTTCCACTAATGTACAGGGAGGAAGGTCTGGCTTGTGAGCATCAAGATCATCACATGCCTTCTGAAGGAAGAGAACCTCAGTGTTCTCTTCTCAGATACACTCGGACTTCAACATTGCCTGCTTTTATGGCCAGTTATTCTTCTAACTTTAATTAGAAGCACCTACCAGCTGTGGGCTTTCGGATGCCTCTCAGAAGCTGCGGAGGATCCCTGTTTATTTCTGTTCTACTACGCAAGGTGGCTTTGCACAGGGCCAAAGAGCTGCTGCTGCTGCTGGATGTGCTACTGCTCTCCCCATCAGCATGCCTTCCTGTGAAGCCTAAAAGCAAAACAATTACATAAAAATATGCAAAGAACAGCAGAAGCCCAACTTAGAGAGTGGTTTAACATACAAGAATTATCTGCTAATAACAGACCCGCTATTACAGGGTATTGCCCAGTTACCAACTATTTTGGAGTTAAACACATACACAGCTCTGTACAGTCACATGCATTCTCATCAAGTGTTAAAGAAATCCTCAGGCAAACTTACAGATACCTAGGGACTACTGATTAAAAGCTACCTATGCAGTCATTAGAAAACCACCACAACAAGAGCAGTGCTCACCAGAGGCAGACTCCATGTGTGCCCCGTTTACTTTCAGTGGTGTTAAGACAACACGTGGCAGCATTACACCAGTCTTTTTCTTTTGTTTGGATGTCTGCAGGCCAGAAAGAAACCAAAAACAAAAAAAGGAACAAAGACATTACAGAGGGGTAAAATAATCTTCTAAGCAGCACATTACTCAGTTAAAGAGCTACCCAGCTCCCAGGTAAATCTTCAGGTGTCATTACATTTATGAATAGCAGAGAATTCAAAATTACCTTCCTGTACATAATCCCTCCCCATACTGTAAACTCCCCACCTAAGGAGACAGCCCCATAACTCCAAGGCACCTGCGTGCAACTAGTCCCTGGCACGCTCACCCAACTATCATACAGTAATGAAAGCTCCCCTTGAGAGGCTTCACACTTCCTGTTAGTCCCACTTTTTCCTACCTGGGAGGCAGTTCTGTAGCTCTCCCTAGTAGCAGCGGGTCCCTTGCTCTGAGATTCAGTGGAACACGAGGCATTAGAGGAGGTTTCATCAAGAGACACTGAAAGAGGTGGGCACTCAGTCAGACACAGAAGTAGATCCTATAGTTTAATATTAATGTCATTAGACACTTACCATCATTATCACCACTCACAGTGCTTGCTTCATTGGATTCGCAACTTTCTGCATCTGCTGTATCCTCCAGCTCCTCCCCTTCTGGCACAGACAGATTCCGAGACCACTGCAAGGCATCCTTCTAAATGGGCAAACAGAACTGGGATGGCTACAGTCGTCCCACCCAACCACTACAACTTAAACCAATGGGAACAGACGGTTTAGCGGATGTACTTCTTAAGCTTAATTTTTTCCATCTTCCCTAATCCTTGATGCAGAAAGATATTTTAAAGTATATTTGGGCTCACAGTGGAATAGAAGTCATCTAAACCACTAGCACACTTCATAGACACCTCCTAGACGAGTAACTCAAACATATCCAAAATACATAAGGTTAAAAATTCATCGCACTTTTCTGCAAGCAAGCAGTTTGTATTAAAGAGAAGTATCTCATTCTTACTACAAAAGAACAAGTAGCATCAGAGTAGCCAAATACTAAGATAGTAAGCTTAAGAGATGCATTTACAACTCGTATAATCAAAGCCATTTCAATTCCATCTATTTTCAGCAAAATAAGGCAATTCAACAAGATTTTCTGACAACAGAAAAAATATGCAGATGAAACAGCTGAGATACCTGTTGTCTATCAAGCTAATATTTATCAGGGAATCCAACAGGACAAAACAATGCAAAAGAAAAGCCTAAGACCATAAACATTTTCAACATTTGAGATTACTGGGACAATAAACTAAAAATAAAAAACGTTTCAGAGAGACCTCAAGATCTGAGGAAAATGGTGACACTAAACATACACAGAATGCAGTGGAGCACAAACCAAGCAACCAGAAGAATGAATATACATTTTCCTATCAAGATTTTACTCGTAGCTACAAGCTCTTGGACGAATTTAATTTATTGGTTGGCTGTGTTCCCTTGTGGCTGGCAGAAACGGAGTGAATGGGACTGTTGCAATAAGCGCCCACCTGAGCTGGACACAAGTACTGGAATAAGAGGATTTATCTTGCTTGTGCAATTCAAGAAATAATAGGGTTTTTTCCTAAAAGGAATTTATCATATATGGCTGAATATAGCTCAAAGGTACAAGCTCTAATGAAATAATGAATTCCAGACACTCTTTCACATGACAATCTTGCATGCAGCACATTCAGCTCGTATGATGCTCAGTGACAGTTTAACACTCAGCTATGCATAACAAGCAGAACTCGCACCTCGGCCCTCAGTTGAGAGCAGGAACTCAACATTTACCTTGAGCGTGAAAAGGCTGATGCGTCCAGGCAGTTTGTAAAAGAGTCCATCACCTCCCCTTGAATTGGAATGGAGCATGGCATTGAGGCAGGCTAGGGGAGAAGTGCCACTGAAACGGAGAAAGAAAGAAAACAGTAAGTTTTAAGAAATGGCCTTGTCAAAAAAAACCAGCCTCAGAGATCTGTTTAAATGGGCGTCATTTAGCTGACTGAGGGAAACAGAGATGATGCTCATTAACTTTATGGGATGGGCACTTCAGTCAGAACAACATTACTGTTTTCCTCTTTGACCTGTACTTCAGCCTCAACACATCACAGCGAAGCAATCAGCAGAAAACACAAATGTTATGCCAATTTTGAAGTTATTCTCAGCCATTTTTAGATGTTTCTAACTTGTATTACTTGTTTCCTCCCTTTCTCTACTTGAAACTTTCAGAGTTGGATTGATTTTACAAAAAACCCAGATTTATTCAGCAGTAGAAAGATGCAAACAAACCCAGCATGCTGTTTCTGGAATGTCTTCCCTGACTTGTCACAGACAAACTGCACTAGCAAAGTTAGATATAAAAGGTCTGATGCACTAATTTGTCAAGTCCTACATAACTCCCTGGTTAAAGCAACCATCCTACGCTCATAATGATGGAAATTCTGTGCCACATAATCTCATGTTTTCCAATAAGTCACACATGTGCAGACAGAAAGTTACCTGGAACAGACATTAAAGCAGCATTGATTTCATTATTATTAAAAGTGAAACTGAAAACTGGATTGAGACAAAATATTTCAAAGAAAATCATTCTCAAATCGAAAACTTAGAGCAGTTTCTCTTTCCACCCTGCATGCGTTTGTTTTTTTGGACATTTCTGCACAAGCCTTGGCAACAGACAAAATTACCCTGTATCACTTTTAGACGTTATGAAAAAAATTTCCAGCCTTCTGTCCTGTTAGACAGTGTTTTCCCTTCTGTGTTTAACAGAATGCTCCAAGCACACTAACCAGCCACACAGCACACTTTCTTAGAATGGCAAAACAAGCAGTTTTCCCCAAAATGAGGAAAAAACCAAACAGTTAAAACTCTCCTAGGAGCTAGAACTCAGCAATGGTGCTGGGCACAAGTGTCCTGGCTCAAGCATCAGCCACACAGGACCATTAATGCCACTGGTAAGGAACACGGTCCTCCCAACGGACCAGTGTGACCTCCAAACCAGGGAACGCTGCCTCAGTATTGATTCAAAGGGAAAAACATCTTGAGCCACCAAGGCATTTCCTTCAGGAAATGGAGTTTCAGGAAAGGCTTCTATACAAGTACCAGCAAAGTCTGCGGCACATTTAGCTAGGCAGGATCACTGCCTTTATTCTGTGAACAATTACACTCCAAAGAAAACAGTCTTTTCTTAAAGCGGAGTTAGTGACTGGGGAAGAAAAAGCAGATATCCCAAAGGAAAAACTCCAACCTTTAAAGGAACAACTTAGCTCTGTGGGATTTAACTCGACACACACTCCGAAGTCTGGTCTTTAGTTACATACTGTGACAGGTCACTTGTCAAAACTGGGAAAGCACCAAGATACTTTATGTGTGTGAAAAGAGACCTGCTATTACCTTTAGCAGAGGACAGCCTATGCACACAGATCTTCAACTATCTGCTGAAGTAGTAGGACTGATGTCAGAAAGGTGCAGAGTATTGATTAGAACAAAGCTGTATATGAAGGTCCTCATTAAAAACCTGTCTGAATTCTACTCAGACCTGTGAAACCACTGCCCATATCCAAACCAGTGAAAATCTCCTCAGCAAGGATCGCCAGTGGCAGGTGGGCGTTCTAACAGCTCTGGTATCGATGCAGCAACACCCGCCGGCATCGTCCCTCTCCAAACAATGGCAACTCCCACACATGACACCTCTGTATGCATCACCGATTTTCACTATTCAAACCATCCCAGCTATTTCCTGATTTCAGACACAAATAAGGAGCAGAAACAAGCTAACATTTTGAGTTGTTAGCTCCCAGAAAAAAAATAATTTTACCTTCTGTAGCTAGGTAAAGTACAGGTTCAGGAAACGCAAACACCATCGTAGAAAACAGTCCACAGAATCGAGGTGAGGGACAAGCAAGACTAGAAACAACCCACACATCTGGGTTCCCCAGAAGTCAATCAACAGGCAGCAACCAAGAGAGAGTGCTTTTTCTGTCTCTGGTAGTCAAACTTTCTTCTTTTTTTTTTGCCACACAGCACTAGCTGAGGCATTTGGACTATCACGGTTACCTACTTTCTTTGATCTGCAAGACACTCTCTATTTCTCTTCTACTACTGTCACAGAAACAGATGGAAGTTCACAGGAACTTAACCAAGGAAAAGAGTCTCCCACTCCTGTCGTTTCCAAGGCTCCATATCAGGTTCTTTTCCATATGAAACCCACATTGAGATGGGCATCTCCTCTATGCAATCTAGAGCCACAACAGTGTCAGCTGCATTATCATGGTGTTTGGAAATCCAAGCAGAAGCCAGTATAGTAATATAAAATAAAGACTTTTTTGAGTCTCCTAAAACATAACGTCTGCTCTAGAAATGAAGCATCAGAGGAGACAAAACTTAAACTGTTCTCAAACTGGAGTCACAATAGCAGAAAATACTGGGAGCTACTTACAAAAGAATCATACAAGTAAGTGGTAAGTACAACAAAATGCAGGAGTCTGATCTGCAATAGGCATTTATTTTACAATAGATAGATGAAGGGGACCTTGTATGTTATAAAAAAATACAAGAACAGCTTCCAGTTATTGTCAAAGGAAAAAAAAAAACCCACAATCTGTATATAGATGTCTATACTGTCATCTGAAATTACCATGCTGGAAAGAGAAAAAAAGGAAGAAGAAAAGTGGGCTGGAGAAAAGGCAGAACTGCACGAAGCAACACAAGCCTTCATATGCAGCCTCCCCCATGCTCCACACTACGTTTCAGACGAGATCATCAATACTAACCTCATTTCCTTTAGTCCTTCCGCCTCTATGACCTGCAGAATCTGTTTTGGGGTCATAGGAGCATCAGAGTAATTTTCCAGCACCTGAAAAGACAGAGAGACCACGTGTCATTACCGAATTTGCTTCTGCATTCACAGAACTACTCCATAAGCTGGGGTTCAGATCCAATAATATGCCTCTTAAAACTTTACTCATCTGCAAAAGACACACACTAAAAATTTCAGGCTACCTCAAGATTAGATCACGGTAAGCATCACAAAAGGCTTACCTTAATCTGGTCCCTAATTAACTGAAATACAAACATAAAGGAGAGAAAAAGCAGCAGAATTTGGCCTTGACCCCATAGCATGAAACCAGTGGAAGCTCTACCACAGACTTCAATATACATTAGACCGAGCTGCTGCCACATACAACCTTCACAACTGTACAGTGGTTAGCAACCTTTAATGATGTAAAATGTTCTCCCTGCCATGTACCTTCCTACCTCTATTTTTCTGCCAATAAAAGTATTGCTGTACAACTATACAATTCAATAGCATACCTTCCTTGGATTACTGGATTCATTTCATCTTCGCTCCATCTCAAGAAGGGTACCACAGGTAAGAGTCAGAATTCTTGTCAGAGAAGGACAGAATTCAGAAAAGGACAACAATAACAGTAAAGGATGTGGAAAAAAATTATGGCTAGAGACACTAAAAAGATTTGGAGTGCTTGCCTTTGAAAGAAAACAAGTAAAATCAGATATTAAAAAGGCAATACAATAAATAACAACTCCTCCTTTCATATATTATATGAAGAATAGAATTGCCACTTATATGCAAAGAACTAAAGAGGCTATTACTTTTTTTTTTTTAAAGTCCATGGAACCTACTGCTCCAAAATGTCTAGAAGCAAGAACTCATGGATTCAAGAAGAGGACCGGACATTTCTGTGGATAAGAAGATTACCCACATAAACAGGAAACAATGAACAAAAATAAGCCGCAGTAGATGTAAACCACGATGTTTCTTTGGGAGCAGATTACCCTGCAGCTGCCCAACATGCGCTGCCTCCTGCGCTTTCCATTGAAGCGGACAGCACTGCTCTCTGAATGCAAAAGATGCTGAACTCAACAGACTTCTGGGTCCGATCCAGCAAAAAGACTGCGATATAGGCACTCAACATGGCCTGAAACATCCAAGAAAAGCAGCAAGGGGTATTCACTCGGAAACTTTTTGAACATAACCGTGGTCTAAATTCCCCTAACATAATGGCCACAATGATGCACAATTCTGATTTCATTTGTTACCATGCATTAGAATAGTCAGCAACAGCAAACTGTCTTTCAGTTTGACTTGTGTGAGAAGCCAGTGGAGGAACCCAAATGTCCCATTTATATCAGCAACATCTAGAACTGAGTCACTGCAGCACTGTGGCAAGGCACAGAGTCTGCTGTCTGCCTTCTAAAGTTGCATGAACAGGACATTTGCAAAAAAAAGTGTTCTGCAGGACACCATTTGCATCTCCGTACCATCTCCGGCCTCCGCAATTAAAGAAAAAAACCCAACCCACGTCACTGTAGTTCTGCACTTCAGCTATGTTTTGTGATAAAAGGAATTTCTTAAATCATATCCACCAAATGTGTATTTTTCAGATGCTTGAAGATCGCAAGCACCGGTGGTGCTAACCTGGTAGGGGACAGAAATTTGAGAAGTACGTAACCTGAGATAAAACACAAAGAATTTAAAGAAAAGATCAAAGAAAGTGATAAGCCATATTCAGAGGGAGTAAACAATTTTAATTCCAGCTCCATCGCACTTTTTCTTCCACTAACCAAAAAACCTCCATAGGTTATGATGTTTCCATGCCTTCCTCATGAACTGTCACCCCCTGTCACTCAAAGGGAGCAGACAGCTGACAAGGGGAAACACATCACTCCTGAGTTGAGTGCAAGATCCACAAGATGGAACATGCCTGTTCTGAAAAATAAGGAAATTCTTCACAGCTTATAAAACCTCTCTCAAGTGACAGACACAGCAAGCAAAATACACAGCCTAAAACGGAGCATGAACGAGCATTTACATAAAGATAAAAGAATCTACGCTCAGGGGAACAATTTCCAATCAACAGCTATATTAAGTGTACAGACTGCTTAATGGAAGAACGGGGGGAGAGAAGATGTTGCAGCTTCAGCCACCAAAGCTCAGTCTCCAGCACTGGCCCTCCATCCCTCTCCAACCCAACACTGCCCGTGTCACGTCAACCTTGTATCAGGAGCTACAACTTAAACAACGTTAGCTATTCCTTACCCCAAAAAAAGATTTATTTCCCCCCCCCCCCCCCCCCCACCCTCACATCACA